GGGAGAGGGAGGGGGAGAGGGAGGGGGAGGGAAAGAAAGACAGACAGAACCAAATAAATAAGACACAATATCTGCCCTAAAAGTCAATATAACTTTAAAGGCCATATCTCAGTATTGTGAAAAATTCACTGAGTCAGAGGTAAAGAGCTTTTAGAAGCTCATCTAAATGTTTCTTAAAAATTAAAATGGGAGTTGGGGATTTAGCTCAGTGGTTCCATGGCCTGCCTTGCAAATGCAAGGACCTGAGTTCGATCCCCGTACCAAAACAAAAACAAAAACAAAAAAAGAGCCAAGGATTTAGCTCAGTGGCACTGCGCCTGCCTTGCAAGCACAAGGTCCTAAGTTTGATTCCTGGTACCAAAAAAAAAAAAGAGAGAGACCACCTGAAACAAGAATAGCTCTATAGCAAATTTCATATTTAATGGTAAAGGATACAAAGATTTTCCTTTGGTATCAGATGATTTTCCATCACTACTCTATTTAGCACTGTACTAGAGTTTCTAGTTAGCATTAAGGTAATAAAAACATGCAAAAATCAAAAGAAATGGAAAGGAAGAAACAAAGCTCATTTAATAATACCACTGGTATACACAAAATCCAAAAGAATCTACAGATAAACTTTTGGAATTATTAAGAGAGTTTATTAAATGTTAGACTATGATATAAAAATCAATGTCATCTACATAACACCAATAAACAAAATTAAAATCTATAACAATATAATTTGCAAGGATTTGAAAATATTTACATTGAAATAAATCTAATAAATAATGGGAGTACTATAAAAACTATACAATTTTAATGATAAATGATCAACTGATTAATATAAAATGTGATATATATTTATACATTATATATAATATATATAATGCATACACCAGAATAGTATTTAGCCAACAAAAGGAATGAATTTCTGACACATGCTACACCATGAATAAATCTTAAAAACAAAAGGTCATTTGGCCAGGGATTTAGCTCAATGATGCCACTGCCTGCCTCGCAAGCACAAGGTCCAGAGTTTGATTCTTGGTACCAAAACATCCCAAAAGCAAACAAAAACAAAAGGCCACTAAGCCAAATGTGGTGGCACATGCCCGTAATCCTAGCTCTCAGGAAGGCTGAGGCAGGAAGACAACCATGAGTTTGAGGCCAGCCTGAACTACATAGTGAGTTCAAGATCAGCATGGACTACACAGTGAGACCCTGTCTCAAAAGACAACCAACCAACCAACAAATAAAGCCATCTACTGTATAATTCAAGTATATGAAATGTCCAGAATATGCCAATTCTCCAAGACAGAAGGGTCTATAGGGACTGAGTGTGAGTTTTCGAGGGAGGAGAAGGGTCATGAAAATGTTCTAAAATTAATTCCAGGTGATGATTGTACAACAGTACAAATGTACTAAAAACTGCTGAATTATATAATTATATATTATATAATTATGACAGTAAATTTTACTATGTATATATTTTACCATAATTTTTCTTTTTTTGTACCAGGGATCGAACTCTGGTCCTTGCGCTTGTGCAGCAGGCAGAGAAACCACTGAGCTAAATCCCTGGTCCTTTACCATAATTTTTTAAAGTCATTGAAATGGTATATTTTATTTCAAATACTGATAGACAATAAAACAGAATTTATTAGTGGATATACCTTATTTCTAGATGACAAATTCACTATTTTAAAGATGTCAATCCTAAATAAATTGATTGCTTAAATACAATCTCAATTAAAAATCTCAATAGACATGTGAAACTTGTGAAACATGTGAAACTTGACAAGGGGATTCTAAAATGTACATGGAAATGCAGAAAGACAAAAAGTGCCAAAGCACTCTTAGAAAAGAACAAGTCTTTAAAGCTACAGAAATTAAGACAGTGAGGTACAGTGTCAATAGACTAATGAAAAGGAATAGAGAGCCTAGCACAGACGCAGGCATACATGAAACCCGATTTGTAATAAATGTGACACTACACAGAAGCAGGAAGTGGGTGGTCTTTTCACTGGGACAACTCGATATCATTAAGGAAAAAATAAAACTAGACCTCGTCCTGACTCCACATACAAAAATCAACTTCAGATGGATTATGGACATAAAGGGAAAAGGCAAACTGATAAATTTCTTGGAAAAGAATATAGGAAAATGTCTTCAAGCTCTTAGGATAAGAAGACTTTTTAGACAAGATACAGGAGATATTATAAAAAGAAATGATAGATAAATTTGACTACATTAAAATTGAGAGTATCTGTTCATCAAAAGATACCATTAAAAGAGTGAAAAGAGGCCCAGGGATTTAGTTCAGTGGTTTTACCGCCTGCCTTGCAAGCGCAAGGACCTGAGTTTGATTTCCGGTACCAAAAACAAACAAAAAAGAATGAAAAGACAAGTATAGAATAGAAGATATATAAAGCATTTAAGTACCCAAGATTCATATCTAGAATATATAAAGAACTCTTTCTAATCAACCAGATAAAGACAAGCCACCCAGTTTTAAAATGGGCAAATAGGGCTGGGGATTTAGCTCAGTGGCACCGCGCCTGCCTTGCAACCGCAAGGTCCTGAGTTTGACCCCCCAGTACTACCGGAAAAAAAAAAGTGGGGTGCCAGGAATTCAGTTCAGTGGTGCCACTGTCTGCCTCGCAAGCGCAAGGTCCTGAATTCGATTCACAGTACCAAAAACAAAACAAAACAAAAAACAAAATAAAATGAACAAATAACTTGAGTAGGTATTTCATAAGAACTCCAAATGGCCAAAACAAATTTAAAAATACTCAATCTCATTAGTAACCAGGAAATGCAAAATAAAATCACAATGAAAAACTGTAATATCAAATGTGACCAGAACAGACAGCAACAATTATATGTTTGCTGGTGAGAAATTAAGTTGGTACAAAATCTGTACCAACTGGCAGAATCTACTAAAATTTTTAAAAGATATCTTCTATAATTCAGCAATTATAGGAAATGAGTTAATATTTAAATATACATATTAGATTACATCATATGAAATAATATTTGATGTTTGATCCACAAAAATGGTAACTGTATGTGGTTCAACCTAAAGTACATTCAACAGAAATATCTGCATCCAAAGACAAGTTCAATAATATTCAATAAAGTGATATTATTTATAATTGGCCCAGACTGGAAACCAACCAAACATTCACCAATAGTAAAATAATAAATAAGCTGTAGTGCTGTCACACACTGAAATATTGAATACATATTGAAAATCGCTTCTTGGCCTTTTGGTTAAGATTAAATGTTGAATATGTAATGAAAGATAACAAACTATAGTTATATGCAGTAACATATATGATTATTAAAATAAAATGTTTAGTGAAAGATCAAGATACAAAAGAGTAAATGCAGTATAATTCAGGGAAAATATACCTAAATCATTTAGGGACAAATGTAAATGTGGTAAGTCAAAAGATC